ACGTGCCCCTCTCTTTTGTTTGTTAGCATGGAAATTCTTTTCTGATTTGTTTTTATGTAAAACTTAGGTAATTAAGAAATGTGAAAGCTTTTACTGATTTGTCTAAAATCAACTATAAGTATACAAGGGTTTTAATTTCAATCTCGAATTACGAATCGAGATTATTCTCTCAAACAGTGCAATGGTAGAAGTAAATATTATCTTCTTTGCATAGTCTGTAATTTCATATAAATGGGGTAAACAATTTTTCCCCGAATCAAGTCAACTGAAAAAAAGTCTTCAAAATAACTATGATACAAGTGTGGATTTGAAATTTATTAGGATAAAATCAACGTCCCAACCAGCTCGACTACAACATTGATGATTCAAGGCTCTCCATTTGCCTCCTAGAGCACGTTAGTTTAAAATATTTGTAAGAAGAATAATCAACGAATTTGGGCATGGGTACACAGGATCGGATCGAGAACAAGTTGGTGGTCGTTCTTTGGGGGCGTGTGAGTGAGTGAGGGAATCAATGAACCTTATTGGTCACTGTTTTCTGCAAAATGTTGGGTCAAAGACCAACACTCTTAACAAAAGATATATAATCACTAACTGACAATGCCATAAGGCTAAAATCCAAGGAGAGATTTTGGCTCCCAAACGAGAGATAGAGGAAACCAAATCCAAGGCCCAAGAAAGATAAAAGGAGATGGAAAACTTTCAATATTAATCATTGTTTTAAAATATAGTGTGTCTCTGCAAATTTTAACTTCATGATGAGTTGGTTTTCATTGAAGAAGATGTGAATAAATGGTTAAAATCCATATATATGAACGTCTTTCAACATATCGATTTATTAGGACCAACTGATTTAGGACAATATACACATGGAGAAAATTTTATGGCCGACCTAATCGAACTATTCATCATCTAATCATATTTCCCATCCAATTTGGATTATAGTTTCTCCTCATTGTACGTATTAGCTTCTTGGGTTATGCAATATTTTTTGCCTTTCCAATTAGCATATAGATAATGTGATACACTACACACTTAGAACAGCTAAGATGGACTTAACTTGCTTTCCTCTCCTCCAAGTCTCCAACTACGGCGACCCAAAAGGCACGATTTGGGAGCCAAAGAAAGAAATGTGGAAGATTTTCACAATAATCAAATCCACACTTTGACTAGTCCATATTATCACGAACAAAATGACAAAAGAAACAACAAAATAATCGGGGAGGCCGGCGAGAGGGAGCATCAACCCCCGCATTTCACTCGTGGACGGTCTTCCATTTTGTAATCCCTCCCTCGTATACAATAATACTTGCATTTGAAGCAACTAAAATATTCAAATGAAACTTAATTCCAACAAAAATCATCAAACTATTACTAGACTACTGACTCATCGATAAAGGAAGGGGATGTATATTGTAAAAAGGGTTATAGGTATAATATGCCCCTCTATTATGACGTTTTATCAAACATGTCCTTATACTATTTTTTACATTAAACATGCCCTTTTGTTTAAATTTCCATCCAAAAACCGTTAACCAAGGTCGAACTTTGGTTTGTGCGGCCCAATTGTCTAAAATATCCCTAATAATTTCACTTTAGAATTATTTTTGTTCTTTTGAAGAGACCTAGAGAAATAAAACGGGAGACAAAACTGACATTTTCGCTCTCATTTGCCGATGTCGGGTCGTCTAAATCTCGGTTCAACCATGATTGACGATTTTATCAATGGAAATCTTAACAGAAGGGCATGTTTGATAATTTTTTCAAAGTACAGGGGCATGTTTGATGTAAAAAATAGTAGAGGGGCATGTTTGATAAAATGTCATAGTATAGGGGCATATTATACCTATAACCCTTGTAAAAATTGTACTCTTACTTAACTGATCATGAAGAATAACATATGTTAAATTTGACTTGTCCAGAAGCTATAGTTGACGTGGTTTTGTTAGGGTTTTTAAACGCCTCTAATAAAACTAATAAACGGCATCTACTTATTTAGTTCTCGTTGATGTTTTTGTGCTTCTTCATATGGTTAACTCGCTTCATCAAATGTCCTACACAATTTGTATATGTAGCCGACAATACTAGTCACACGCATGTTCAATCAAAATAAGATATGGATGTGGTATAGTAAACCCTAAACCCTAATTTTGATGTTCAATCAAATGTCCTTTACTATTTGTATATGTAGCCGACAATACTAAACCCTAAATCCTTATATATCTGTTCCAACACCCAATTTGTGGTCAATTGTTCGTTTCTTGGTTGAATTGGAATTTGGGGGAAATTAGGGTTCTTGAGGTATGAGAATTGGGGGGGGGGGGGGGGGGTTGATGCTTTGCTCGAGCTGAACCTTCTAATATGCAATTGATGATGAGAACACTTTCATATTATCTTTTAATATGGTTATTTGCCCTTTGATTCTAGGTCTAAATGCAAAGCATATATCATCGAAAGAGATTATCCACACCTCACATACCAACAAAAGGAACTAATCTATCATAGCATTGTCAGATACAAACCAATATATACAAACATTTCTTACTTTCAGTTGTGGTTCGAATTATATTTCTACAACATTCGATATTTGTACAAGTTTTGACACTTGTACAAGTTTTGACACTCGAATAGAGATATAGATATTGTGTATAGAGTATCTAGAGATGTGAAATCCCCTATTTTGGGGTTAAACTTTCTTTTCTCGTCGATTGTTATTTCATTCACACCGAAAAAGGGGTTTGTGGGGCTATTGCCGGCTGGCCTCCTCCTTCACTCTCCGGTCATTGCTCACCAACTTGTTGAAAATGTCTTTGTGTTGCGTACTTCTTTTTTCCTCCCACGGCCAAAAATTCTATTCCCATACATCTCTTCCTTTTTCTTTCACTTTATTTTCTCTCAAGTCTCAACTCCTTTTTTTTTTTATATATCTCCCTTTTGTTTAATTTCCCACCATGGTACACGGATGATTATAAATTATTATGCATATCCAATTCAATTAAGTAATGTAATTAATTGAGCCAACAACTATTGGCAAGCTATGCTATTCAATAACAAAATCCAGCTTATGGGAAAGCAATCAATTACTAGTTTATTACTTTATTACCATATATGTCAATGATAGAGAGTGAATAGGGACATTAGACATATACGAATCTAGACGGCTATTGAAATGTTTATGTACAAAAAATGGATTGAACATCATATGTGTTGGAGAATAATGTAAGTGTAATATACTCTTGCCAAGCAAATTAGACAAATGGATCATCTCCATCTTTCCTAAATACAATAGTTCACTAAGTATAACGGAAACAAATTATATGAAAATCAAACCCAATACACATTTATAAATTTCTCATATTACTAAATCTCGGTCCAGACTTAACAATATTATACCTTACGTTCATATATGAACAAACCTAAGGTAGAAGGACACAACTCATCACTGAAGTGGTGCATTCATACTCTAACGAATTTCTAGAATTCTAGTTGTCATTTCTTCGTCCCTTTAGTTGTAACAATAAGTGTAGTTTCTCATATTACTAAATCTCGGTCCAGACTTAACAATATTATACCTTACGTTCATATATGAACGAACCTAAGGTAGAAGGACACAACTCATCACTGAAGTGGTGCATTCATACTCTAACGAATTTCTAGAATTCTAGTTGTCATTTCTTCGTCCCTTTAGTTGTAACAATAAGTGTAGTTCCTCTCTACTACGGAAAAAATGATAATTAGTAATTACATCTTAAGTTTTAACCTTGCTATGAATGATGTTACTTTAATATTATTTTTTTTCATGTTGTTACGATTGTTTCAATTAAATTCACTAGCTAAGCATTTAATAAATAGTCGGTACTCAATTGTTTGGATTTTAAGAAATTCATCACGAATCATCATTTTGTACGCTCAAAGATGAAATGAAACCGAATGAAACCAGTAATATTATTGTAGGAATCAAATACTCTATTTAGTTTTTAAAAGAATTCGATTAGAATTCTACATACGGTAAAGAATAAAATCAAACTAAATAAATAATTAACTATCAATAACTAAACTACATAAGTAGGAAAAATGTATCCTTCCTTTTGGAAAATGAAGTGGAAACTACCTTTCAAATTTCATATAGTTTCTTCTTCCCCTTCCCTAACCCCAAGTTGTCACTTTAACTTGGTCTATCACGACATCTTTTCCTTGTGGCCTTTTGTTTACTACTATCAATACGCCATTGCTTCTTTCTCCTCCTCGACCTCCAAACCCCAAAAAAAAGTAAAGCAAAAGGGCACCAAAAATCAAGGCGGCCCTTCTCTCTCCCCTCCTTCGTCGTCTTCTTCTTCCCCTCCTTCTGGCGACTGGATCTGAAAAATCTTTCCTCTCTGACAGAAAAGTGCCCAACTGGGGAATTCTCTGCTTGGTGGGTCTACTACATACAAATACAATCCACATACACGAGTGTCTGTTTGTTTGAGTGACAACCCGACATTTCTTCCTGCACAGGTACTCCCCCATCCCTCTCAGTATCCAATCTCACCTGTCCTTTCTTATTGATTTTGCCCTTTCCTTAAACCCTCCCTCTCTGGTTTTTGTGTACTTCTAACGATGTTGATTCCTCCACGGAAATTTTCCAGAAAGTGAATGAATATGAAGTTACGGAGAGCGAGTTCTGGAGAGGAGACAGCCCAGGAACGGCAGATCTAGCTGCTGATGGAAGAAAGAAAGATGCTTTGGAGAGTAAAACAAGAGCAACGAAACAGGGGAAGAGTAGAACAGAGCAGCAGCAGGAGAAGATTATTATTATTATCTTTGCCCATTATAATACTCGGCAAATCATTACAACCCAGATGATTAAGATGGATTGATTTTTTTTGGTTGGTTTTGTTCTCTTGTGCGTGGAGATTGAAAGCCGAGCGAGGAGGAAGTGGGGGGAAGAAAAAAGGGGGGAGCTTTGTGTTTATGCAGAAAGCAGCAAATTTGACTACTGAGAGAGGGGGGAGAAAAGGATGAAGGAGGGAGGAAGAAGATGGTGGAGATTCAGTAATGGAGTTGTTGATTTCCTTTTCCTTATATTCCTACTGCTGCTCATCCCGCCGTCGCATTCCGATGATGTTTCTGGCCTGTTGACTTTCAAGCAGAGCTCTATTGATTCCGATCCCAAGAAGGTTTTGTCCAGCTGGAGTTCTAATTCCAACGGCGGTGGGGCTTGTTCGTGGTTCGGCGTCTCCTGCTCCGGCGGCCGCGTTACTTCCTTGGACCTAACCGGAGCTGGCCTGGCTGGTTCTCTACAACTTCCCCAGCTCATCGCCGGGCTTCCTTCTCTCACCAGGCTGATTTTGCGGTCGAATTTGTTCACCGCCGGGAATCTCTCCACCGGTGGCGGATGTGCTCTGGAGATGCTCGATTTGTCGGCCAACAACATCTCGGACCCTCTCCCGTCGGATTCGTTTTTCAGCTCATGCTCCCGCCTCGCCGCAGTCAACCTCTCCGGCAACTCAATCCCCGGCGGGAATCTCCGGTTCGGCGGTTCCTTGCTCCAGCTCGACCTTTCCCGCAACCGGATTTCCGATTCTTCCCTCCTCGCCGACGCGCTCTCCGGCTGTCAGAATCTCAACCTGCTCAACTTCTCCCACAACAAACTTCCCGGGAAAATCGGTACCACGCCGCGGGCGTGCAGGAATCTCTCCGTTTTGGACATCTCCGATAACCTTCTCACAGGGGAGCTCCCCGCCAGCTTCGTCGCCGACTCTCCGCCGTCGCTTGAGGTATTGGATCTGTCCATCAACAATTTCACCACCAGCTTCCCCGGGTTGGATTTCGGGCGGTGCGGGAACTTGACCCGGCTCATGCTGTCGCGGAATCGGTTTTCGGGTCCCGGGTTCCCAATCGGGTTCTCTAATTGCTCCCTTTTGGAAACCCTAGATTTGTCGCAGAACGACCTCCAGCTGCCGATTCCGGGAGCGTTGTTAGCTAGGCTGAAGAAATTAAAGTGGTTATCTTTGTCGCACAATAGCTTCTCCGGCGAAATCCCGGTCGAGCTCGGTGGTCTCTGCGGAACTTTACAGGAGCTCGACCTCTCTGGGAACAAGCTCACCGGAGCGTTCCCCTCTGTTTTCAAGTCATGCTCTGTTCTCGAAACTCTCGACCTTGGACTCAACCAGCTCTCCGGAGATTTCCTGACCACCGTCGTCAGCGGGTTGACCGCCTTGAGAATCCTCCGTGTCCCTTTCAACAATTTAACCGGAGAGGTACCGCCGTCTCTGGTCAATTTGACTCGGCTAGAGGTGCTCGACCTTAGCTCGAATGAGTACATCGGAGCTGTTCCCTCCGAGTTCTGCACTTCTTCTTCAAACCCTTCTCTCGAGAAGCTCCTTCTCGCCGGTAATTACTTGACCGGGCAAGTCCCGGCGGAGCTAGCCAAATGCAGAAACTTAAGGAGCATCGATCTCAGCTTCAACAACCTAGACGGACCCATCCCGGCGGACATCTGGTGGCTCCCGAACCTCTCCGACGTGGTAATGTGGGCGAACAACCTCACCGGCGAAATCCCTGAAGGCATTTGCGTGAAAGGCGGCAACTTGGAGTTTCTCGTCCTCAACAACAATCTCATTACAGGCTCAATCCCCAAGTCAATCGGAAGCTGCACCAACTTGATTTGGGTCTCCCTCGCCAGCAACCGTCTCACCGGAGAAATTCCTTCCGGAATCGGGAACCTAAACAACTTGGCCATCCTCCAGATGGGCAACAACTCCCTCAACGGTCAAATCCCACCTGAAATCGGCCGCTGCAAGAGCCTAATCTGGCTCGATTTGAACAGCAACGACTTATCCGGCACCCTCCCGCCTCAAATCGCCGACCAAGCGGGCCTCATCGTCCCTGGAATCGTCTCCGGCAGGAAATTCGCCTTCGTGCGAAACGAAGGCGGAACCTCCTGCAGGGGAGCAGGAGGTCTCGCCGAATTCGAAGGAATCCGCGCCGAACGCCTCGAGAGCTTCCCGATGGCACATTCCTGCCCGACAACCCGAATCTACTCCGGCGTCACCGTGTACACATTCGTCAGCAACGGAAGCATGATCTTCCTCGACGTCGCTTACAACGAGTTAACCGGTGAGATACCGGACAATTTCGGCAAAATGAGCTACTTGCAGGTGCTCAACCTCGGCCACAACCACCTCACCGGAACCATCCCGGGTACCTTCGGAGGACTAACAAAGATCGGAGTTATGGACCTCTCCCACAACCAACTCCATGGATTCCTCCCTGGTGCGTTGGGATCTCTCACGTTTCTCAGCGATCTGGACGTTTCCAACAACAATTTCAGCGGTCCGATCCCTACAGGCGGCCAGCTCACCACATTCCCTTCCTCAAGATACGAGAACAACACGGGCCTCTGCGGACTCCCCTTGCCCAAATGTGGCGGCGGATCCCGCCAGCGTCGAAGCAACGACGGCGGGAGAAAGAGGCAGCCTTTAGGGGCTGTGATAGTGATCGGCATCGTCTTCTTCATCCTCTGCATCATCGGCCTGACACTTGCTCTGTACCGAGTGAAGTCGCGTCGTCGGAGCAACGAGGAAATGATGGAGAAGTACATCGAGAGCCTACCGACGACTTCGGGGAGCAACAACAGCTGGAAGCTGTCGGGAGTCCCCGAGCCGTTGAGCATCAACATTGCCACTTTTGAGAAGCCGCTGCGGAAGCTGACATTCGCACACCTACTGGAGGCGACGAATGGGTTCAGCTCCGAGACGATGATTGGCACGGGCGGGTTCGGGGAAGTTTACAAGGCTCAGCTTCGGGACGGGATCACGGTGGCGATCAAGAAGCTGATCCATGTCACGGGGCAGGGAGACAGAGAATTCATGGCGGAAATGGAGACAATCGGGAAGATCAAGCACAGAAACCTCGTCCCGCTCCTCGGGTACTGCAAGGTAGGGGAGGAGAGGCTGCTTGTGTACGAGTACATGAAGTGGGGGAGCTTGGAATCGGTGCTCCACCAGGGCGGAGGCCGCCTCGATTGGGGCGCGAGGAAGAAGATCGCGGTGGGGTCAGCGAGAGGGCTGGCGTTCCTCCACCACAGCTGCATCCCTCACATCATCCACCGCGACATGAAGTCGAGCAACGTGCTCCTCGACGAAGGGTTCGAGGCGAGGGTGTCGGATTTCGGGATGGCCAGGCTGTCGAACCCGCTCGACACTCACCTCAGCGTGAGCACGTTGGCGGGCACGCCAGGGTACGTGCCCCCGGAGTACTACCAGAGCTTTCGTTGCACGACGAAAGGGGATGTGTACAGCTACGGGGTGATCTTGCTGGAGCTTCTCTCGGGGAAGAAGCCCATCGACCCGACGGAGTTTGGGGACGACAACAACCTGGTCGGGTGGGCGAAGCAGCTGGGCAGGGAAGGGAGGAGGTATGAGATACTGGACAGTGAGCTGATCTTGAAGGCAGGGGAGGAGATGCAGCAGTATCTCAGGATTGCGTTCGAGTGTTTGGATGATCGGCCGTTCAAGAGGCCAACGATGATTCAGGTGATGGCGATGTTCAAGGAGTTGCAGGTGGATCCTGAGAATGATAGCATTGATGGATTGTCGTCAGTGAAGGAAGGTGGTGGTGGTGGTGGTATAGATGAACTGGGGGAGAAGTAGTTTGGTAATGCTATTGATTGAAGTAATGGTAGTACAAGTTTACATTTTATATAAAAAAAAATCTCTTCCTTTTATTCCCCAAGTGTTTGTTAAGAGCAGCTCGACCTTCTTTTACCTTTTGTATATAGAAAGAAAGAAAGAACAGGATGATGTTAAATGAAATCAGGCAGAGTGAAAACCAGAGCTGGAGAAGAAGGAAGAAAGAAGATCCAGGGGGTAGAATCAAATGTGTTTGCAAGCGAAGCCAGCTTAGCTTGTTCTCTTTTTACCCCCCTTTCGTTTTTGTCTCTGTTGAAAGGGTGATCTCTCTGTCGCAGTTTTGCACAACTGCTGTTGTTGTTTTGTTAAGAACTGGAAATAGGCAAATTTGAGGTTGGTGGACTGTGGGCAGCATTTCGCAGTGGGTTGTGGGCAGTCTTTTAGCTTTACTGGGGTATGTTAGCTGGCTGGAAGAATCCATTGTTCAATTCATAAGGGAACTGTTTCATCCGTTTGAACAAGGACGCAAAAGCCTTTTCATATTCCAACTGTTTCATACGATCAACATTATAAAATTTCCAGAGATTTTTCCTTCTATTGCCAACAGAGTGAAGTGACCATTTCTTTGGTCATTGTTGCCAAGCCTTTGTATTACGGGCTTAGAGTGTAGTTCTCTTCTCCGCCATCTTGGTGGATTCAACGGTTGAAATGGTGTATAGATGGGCTCCATCGTCAGGGTAGCCGGCCCGGCTCTGTTCGTCACCCATAATTCCATAAGGTCCTATCTCCCAGGCCCATACGAACCCAAGATATGACAGCCCAAAGCTCTGCAATTTAATTTGATGCTCTAATGGTGGTTAGTTTCTCGTAGTCATCCAATTTGCTCTATTGCTTCACAAGTTGACGGCTATGTTGTCTCCATACAAACACAGTTGTCTTCTCATTTTTCTAATGCAAGGATTAATGAAAATAAAAACTTCACAAATTGTCTTCTTCCTTGAAGCTGGGTATATGTATATCCAAGGGTTTGATCATTGATGCATTGTTTATATCACTTCTTCGATCAAATAGATCATAACTATGTAGAATGTCACATAATTGTTTTCTTTTCAAACAAACATTGGGTTTCATCTTATCAAAGCGAAGGTGGTCGGAGCCAAGCTTAGACTACTAGTATAGTTCAAGACAACACAAAAGATTTAACGTCACTTGGAGAGAGATCCATTGTTGTTGACTTTGGAAATTGAATTAGCAACCAAATTGCAAAAGATGATGAAGATTCTAATCATTCTAATCATATCTCGATTCAAATTGAGGTCGGGGACACTTCTTGATTGATGGATAATGTTTTGAGTCAAAATCAATTTAATTTTATGTTTACAAGTACATAGAATAGTTTCGGTGAGATTTTGATTTCACCATAAATCTCGATGTACGAAGAAGACCGACTACTAGGCACTAACTCTCCTGTCACTTACTTGCCATATGGATTAACAATGACCATCTCACAACCTGCCAAACAAAAAGGATGAATTACAGTATTACATTTATTACTTCTACAGACAACAACACAATGTGAGAAAACTATGGTATACTCAATCCTATATTGAAACCTTCCTATATCTACTTACCAAAACAAAATATCCCTCAATCTAGAGCTATGTAACTCTTTTCCCTCACCACTTTCTTTTACTCTTTCTTAAAAAAAATTCAATTGAACAGTTTTGTTCATTCCTGGGGTTGGGTTGTCTGTCAGAAGTCATCGGAAAATGGAAACTAACTGCAAAGAACATCAAATGGGGGAAAAAAAAAGAGAAATCAAAAGGATGAAAAAGGGAAAGAGAAGAAGACATGAAAGCAAAAGAAATAAACAAAGGGGGGAAAAGGGTGGAAAGGCAAAGGAAAGGGACAAAGACTCGGTCAAAGATAGAGTCTTTTGACTGAGTGGCGGGAGGGAGGGAATCGAAAGACAAGAGTAGAGAAACATTATTTTATACAAACATATGAATCAAGAAAACTAATTTATCCATAGGACAATTAACTAATTACTTAATTTTCAATGAACTGATTACTAAACTTGAATGATCCGAAGTGTGGAATTTTTTATGATGTTGGTGTGTGACCAAATTATCGTATGGTTGCCAATAAGAATTTGATTTATGGTAAATATCATTAGTGTTAGATATTGAAATCTCAGGTTCAAATCTCTTAAGTAACATCAGATTAGAAAAAGTAAACTTACATCATCCTTATTCAAAATTTATGTATGGTTAATGTGCACTATTTTGAGTAGTTAGATGTCATTCTTTGAATTTATGTGAATATTTGTCATCAGGCTAATGTAAACGCAACTCTACATTATGAATGTATTGGCGGGGTGTCACTTTGCTCGCTAGTCTAGTATTTTGTGTTCTTGCACCAAGTATATCGTGTTTGATTCTCACTTGATATACAACTAGAAGGGACATATTGAGGAGGTCATGCAAATTGTGAGGATAATCTCACTCCATATTTCTTCTTCTTAGATAATACTTGTACCCATATATATGTCACCCATGTATAAGCTCCAAGAGATCATCATACCTAACACTTATCTCTCTAGGAGATTATCATTGCATCGGTGAGAACTTATCTACATGTCGTTTAACAAGAAAAAAGTTTGGTTAAGAAATTCAAACAAACTACATACACAAACAGTATTCTCGGTAGCTATGCACTTACATATTCCATGCATGAAATTCTCCCATTACGATGGTGTCCAACTCACGCAACAGTCAAAACAATGAAAGAAAAATTAGGTTGCAATATTCAATCCTTTTCTTTTTATATATAAGAGTGACATATGTTGATTTTGTATAAATAGTTGCTATTAAAGAGATTCAAAACATGAGACCTCTAAATTTAATACTATTAAAATTATCACTTGATCAAGCCCTTTTCACCAATGTTTGCAAGAGGTATAAGTTTATCTTGGATTCAACATACACATGAATACAACCAAAAACCAAAATAAAAGATGATAAAGCCAAAGAGTTGCATTTGCATGGCTATATATCACATACGAATATTGGACGATGCCCTTGAAGACGGCCAATCACTAACTCAAAAGGGAGAATTTGAGAAATATGATTCTCAATATTAATTATCAACCCCTCATTTTAGTGTCCACTCACTCAAATTCCAATTAACCTTATTAATTACTAGCTTATTACCCGGCCCGTTGGCCGAATTACTGTATGTTACCCACTTGTGGAATGGGAGAGAAAGCAAGTGAGAGTGAAGGGATTGGGATTCCACTTGATTAGGACCGACCCACTAATCCGATTCTTCCCGACCCGTCCCAACCTAAAGGGTCAGAAAGAGTTAATAAGAAAATACGAACAGAGAGGATTAGTCATATATCTTGACTCTTCATAAGTGGGTCAAAACAGGATCAAGGTTGGGTGATGGCAATTTTTAGCACTAAGCAAAGTTCTGGGTTGAATAACTTTACTTAGGCCTAGATATTGGTGCTGATGCAGACTGCAGTTTTTATTATACCATCATCAATCATCATTGAATTAGTCCTGGGCATCCCTCCCCGTTGTCGGTCTGAATTCTAATGATGGCTTCATTCCTTGCACCACCCATATCAGCGAGTTGTCATCTCGAGCATGATTTGCCTATGTACAAATGATACAATTAGAGTATGAAACTGAATTCAAAGAAAAGGAAAAGAGAATTCTATCACATGCCAATAAATACACACATAATAGTGGAAGCTAAGTGAAAGTCATTACTCGCACATCAATTCTCAAAAATTACAGACTAAACAATGGCTAGAATGGCACTAAAACTACCAAGAATCATGGACGAAACAACTTGTCAAATTAAATAATCCTTATACTGAAACTACCTTCTAACTTGAAATAAGACATGATCACAGTTCATAGCACTCTTATCACTATGAATTGGTTGCAACTCGTACTTATCACTGCCTCCCAAGCTCAATTCAAACAGAATAGAGACCGTTATGTAAGATAACCATATCCTTACTGATCATAATTCCTTTCTTCACTCCATTTTTGTCGGAGAAAAGAGTTATCCCTCTCTCCTGCATTTCCCTTTCCCCCTCTCTTTCCCCTCTTCTTCACAAACCGATCCCTAAACCAGCAACAACAACACAAAAATAGCCTTCGCCTCTGCCATCTCCATCTACTGAACGCGTTGGTGGCAAGACAGGACTGCAGAAGCAAAATTTTCTAAAATCAAACTAAAATTTTTGAAGGAGACTCAACCACGATAAAAGAGTAAAGCAACAATGCTAATAGTTCAGATGGTTGGTTTTGATGTTATACGTTGCTTTTGTTATGGTCTCCAGTATATCAACTGCAACAAAGATGTTTCCTCCAATCATCTTTAATGCACGATTTAGAAGTAAGTCCTCTTGTTTGTGTCAAACGGAAACATTCATGGGTTCTTAACTCCCCTGTTAGTGTAAATGCAGCAGCAGCAAAGAAGTTTGACAACAAAGCAAGCACCCATGCAAAATGATACAATGCAGTAGGTGATATGTCTCGAAGGTTTTGAGTTACTAAACTTCATGTTAAAAATAAACATGAATTAAAATGGATTATTCTATTAAGCAAACATCCCCTCTAATCATACAAAGATCAGATATCCAATTCACAAACAATTAAGCCATAAAAAATCATCACACATCCACCACCTTTGATTGCCTAAATTTGGTTTTTCGCAAAGTTATGGACTCTTAAGGGTAACGTTCATGGGTAGTCTGTTTCATAACTCTAGAGAGCACAGTAAGCAGCCACCAGCCAGACACAGTGCGGTAGGCGAATATGATTCTCAATTCACAATTTCTCACCACCGGAAGTAAGAACAGGCCATTATAAGCGTAGCGTTCATGGGTGGTCTGTTTCATAGCACTACTACACAATTTGTTAAAAAAGAAAGAAAGGTATTTAGCATCACGGCGGAACAACTTTTACAGGCCAACAACGACAACATGCTGCAACCACCAAAACTGGTATCACAACTCATAGGGAAAATCAAAAGATTTACTCTCAAATTAAGTAGTTACAACATCGAACAATCGTCAAGCACATACACCATCACAAAAGTCACGGAACCTGATTCACAAAGCATTCAAACATTTGAGGACATTTCTACAAAGGTACAACTTATATGTCTTTTTTCCAAGCCATTTCCATCAACATGCTAATAAATTTGCAATGCATAAAACAAACGGGCCAAAACTTGAAATTCAGCCTGTTTAACCGACCCATGCCAAATTCTAATTATTCTTTACTTTTAAACTTTCTATTCGAAAATAAAAAATAGTGAAAGAAAAGAGACGACTACAATTCGCCATTTGCACATCACTTATTCGGGAATAAAACCATAGAAATTCAAAAGGAACTGAAATGTTTAGGATCGTTTTAATGTTTAAAATAACCAAATAGATCTTTATGTTTAGTTTTTTACTAACAAATACCAAACGATTCCCTATAAAACACACTATAATTTGATCAATATGATGTCAAATAATTATAAAATATATATTTGAAATGATAAAAATTCGAATAATTGGGTTGGTCGAGGTTGAACCATTGAATAACTTTAAAATACATTATATTTTAGCCACTAAGATATAAAATAATAGCATAATATATATTATGCCAGAGAAAATAGCTTGTTTTAGAATGGCAAACCAATGATGTTCATTTGTTTTACTTGATGGCCAAATCCCATGTAGGTCAGGCTCATTCAACTCTTTTATTTTATTGTTAGTGGTTAGCCCATTAGATACCATGCATTAGTTTATTGTTAAATTTTTTATTTTTAACAATAAAAAGGAGTATTATTTTTTGCCTTTTCATATATATTTTATCACCACGGAGAAATAAAAGGGTATAAAGAAAAAAATTGACACTCCTAGACCCGTTTAAATCCGCATGTGTACGGTAAGTTGGCCCGTTCCACAGAGGAAAGAGAAAAAATTGGTACTCCCTATTCTACCCTTCCTACAAACGCTCCTGGAGCAGGGAATTTGAATTGGGAGAAGAGTTTTTTCCATCCTGCTATTATATGTTTTTCCTTTAAAAGGATACAACAAATGTAGTTGGTGTGATTGGTTATGATCCTTGCCTTTTTTTAAAATGGTCATGGTTCGAATCCCAGTATGTATCTTTTTAATGAATAAAAAAAGTAATTGTGAAGACCAAAATGTCCTTCCTACATTCACTCTCGTTGCAGGAAATTTGAAATGGGGCTCGGGTTTTTCACTTCGGTGTATTATAGTATGTGTAGACTTAGGAGCATCATATATTCATATTATAATATTCCCTCCCCGCAGTGCAGTTTCTTCTTGTACGTTTTACCGGTCTCGGCCGGTCCTCTAGGCTCCTTATTAACTTTCCGGAGAGATAAACAAAACAAATATATTCATTCTAAAGCATATAATTAAATTAGCAATCAATGATGATTAAATTCAATTCTGTGGCTGATTGGCTGGCTCAAGATCCCATTAATCCTTCTTCTACAATTTAGTAAGCTCCGTCACCAACTAAGAAAACAGACAAAGTAATCTCTATATATGTATCATCAAAATTATCCCTTTAGTTTCCCACTTGCCTTCCTAATAAATTATAAACTATTTCTCTATGTCAACATCTCCTACAAATTTTATAGATATATGAGAGTTCTTTTCATACTAGCTGGGCCTGGGGGCAATTTGTATAACCAAAAATCTTCACTTTTTATTTATATTAGCTGAATAAACCAACGGATTAAATGTCGTGAGAAATATTGTAACTTCAAAATACTTAATTATCATGTCCTTTGGATTCCTTGAAGGTGGGTCATGATTGGCTTTTTTTTTAATGCATTGTTGCTGATTTTGGAAACAAGAATTTGATGATGGTAATGATCAACTCATTTAATTTTTCTATTTTGATTTAATATGCATTAAAAACATTTGTGCATCCTACTAAATGTGTAAGTATATGAGCCAAATGTGAGGCCTAAAATGTAACATTGAGCACATCCCGATCAAAATTATGAGCGGCTAAAAAATTTATCGAGACGGATTTTGAGGTAGCTACATAACCTTGAGGGGGCTAGTGTTGAGTTGTCTTAAATCTTAATTTTGATGTGGTAATTGGCTATTATATTGTTGATTCTGCATATTAACATAATAAAACAAAATGGGGGAGGGGGTGTTATTCATGCATCTAAAAGAAAATTCCTAAGAATTTAATCATTTCTAGATATAAAATTTATGATAATAGACTTTATATGTTTAACCTTTCAGAGACGAATATAGTTTACTTATCACAAAGTCCGAATCGGAGATAATAAATTTAAAGAGATAGATAGAAAAATAAGGTGAAATAATTTACCATTTTATAGAATTAATGCTATATGGATTAACTCTTAAACTAGAAACAGAAGGTGGTTCAAAAGGCTAAATATAGTGTTCCAATAATTTCAGTGATTTCTCAATATATTTTTTCCCACAATATTTTTGGTTAGTAATATAAGGTGGATTGAATGTGTTTCCATAACATGCAAAATCAAGAGTTATCAACTAAATAACAACTATGAGGCTATTTCCCACTAATTATCTTCTTATCATTTGTCTAAATTTAAAGTTCTTTTAAGGAAAATATGAAAAGTAAATAAACAAAGAGAAAATGGAAGAAGGTAGCAAGAGAACAGAATAGGAGAGGCAACATCAGTCTGAGAGGAAGAGAGAAACCCAGTCCAAGAACGAGGGAATTTTTTTATATGAATGATGATGATTAAGCTAGTTGGAGTTTAAATCTAAATTATTATAATCTCAGGTGAGAAAGAAGAAGAAGAGCACCTGATGACAACCTGACCTTCCTAATTCTCTCTTTCTATCTCTATCTCTTTGTGATTATTAGTTTTCTTTTACCCTTATTTGTTGGTTTCTTTCTTTTGCTCTTATTTTCCAACTTTTTTCTTCCCTCCTTTTTCCAAGATTCCCCATCAATTCCCATTTGCATCCCAATTTCTGGTCCACCACCGGCATAAACACAATCTATCCCTCCTCTTAACCATTATCTCTGTTTTGTTAGCATTTGAGAGGAGAGGAGAGGGAAATTTTGGGGAAGAAAAGAGAACATTTTGGCAATAACAATTTAATCAATATTAAAAATAATTATACTCAGTTTTGTAAGTTTCTTGCTTCTTCCTCATCAATAAAAAAAAACATCATCATTATTGGCATTTCATTTTCTTTCTCTCCTTTCCTTTGAGGAGACTTAAACAAGAGAAGGGGGCAAAAAGATAAAAAGAAAGAAAAGATAGGAAAAGTGAGGAAAAACTAGTGTGAGAGGGAGAGGGAGGGAGGGAGAGAGAGAGAGAGGGAATTCACATTTTAAGCTATTGTGCCCTGAAGTGGTTTCTTTTCTGTTCTTCTTGTTTCCCCGCATCCCCATCCCCTTCCCAATCCTTTTGGGTTCCTTCGATCCTCAGAGATGGGTTGTCTGCAATTGTGATGTGTTCATGGAGAAAAGGCTAAAGATTGAGTCTTGATTGAAGGTCTTTTTCTGGGCGCGGCTCATAAAGTTGTTGTTGGTTGTGGTGGGGAGCGGTGGTGGTGTGGGTCTTTCTTCATATCATCATCTCTTGCCTTTTGTCTCAATAATCAATCAGGTAATTATTTTTGATCATCATCTCTCTCTCCCTCTGTCTCTCTCTTCGTGTCCCTTCTCTTTGATTCTCTTCTTCAACTATGTGTCCGTGGAAAATTGGGTGCTCTTTTCTTGAATGTATGGTTATGTTTCTGGTTTTCATACCAGTTTTGAAGGTACCCACCTTTAGTTTTATGATGTTTTGATAATTTCCTTCGACCCTTATTATCTGAAATTTTTTCTCCTTTGGTGAGTCGCTGATAATTTGGTTTCTTGGGATTATCCAAAGTATTTCCTCCTTCTTTGTTTTTCTCTGCTCTTACTGTTACTGAGTTTCATGTTCCTCCCTTATCATCAACAGATCTTGATTGGAAATACGACACATGATTGTGAAAATATATGTTGAATTATCATTAGACTGAGCGTTTTTTTTTTGTTTATGTTTCATCTGATTTGTCAGGCTAAAAGATTTTTGCCCAAAAATGATTGAGAATTGGATTTGATTTTGTCAGTACTGAGGGGGGTTTTCCACTTTGGGAATAATTTTATTCAGGTTAGCAGCTTAGTGTTTCTTCTTTAATTGGGAAAGAAAGGCTGATGGTTTGTATTGTGGAAGCTGTGATTATATTTTGTTTTAAGATAATCCCAAGTGGTCCTCTCTCTTAAGTCCTAACTTTATTTGCTAAGTTGTTCTCCCATGTCAGTAGCCTAGATGTTCCTCAAGGCTGGGGAAGAATTCAGCTCTACTTAAAGACTAAGTTTGCAGCAGAGTAAAGATTATGTGTTGACACTCTTGCTTATGAACAGCTCTACTTAAGACTAAGTTTGCAGTAGAGTAAAGATTAAGTGTTGACATTCTTGCTTATGAATTTTGTTTAAATCTTGGATAAGCTTTTTGTACTGAAGATTATGTATGGTTCTGTGAGTTATGGAGTTATTGCAACTTGTTCATGAATAAAAATCCTCAACCTTTTCAGGAACTTTGCCATTGGTAACTCTTTTGATTGCAAATTGTCTCAAGGCCCAAGTGCAACTCGGTTTACCAAACATGGGTGGAGTCGATGAGAACATCGCTATAATCGGGGAATGGGCGCCTCCAACTCCAAGCCCAAGAGCGTTCTTCTCGTCGATTCTTGCTGAAGAGGCGATGAGCGCAAGAGGTGCAGGCTCTGATCAACCTGGGGAGTCGAATGCTAGAATGGATGGCTTCTTTCTCGGAACAACAAGAGGGTTGATGAAGACAGCTGGGAAAAGAGATGTTGCTGCTGCTGCACAATCTGATGTTACGCAGCTGACTGATCATTTCTCCAGTCCTTTTAATGACCACAAGGTGACTTCCTCTTCTTCTCGAGGGGGGCTTGTCGAAAGAATGGCGGCTAGAGCTGGGTTTAATGCTCCAAAGTTGAACACAGAAAACATGAGGGCTACCACTACTACTGACCTTTCACTCAATGCTGAAGTGAGGTCACCCTACTTGACGATACCACCTGGTCTCAGCCCGACGAGCCTGTTGGACTCTCCTGTTTTCGTCAATTCTCTGGTGAGCATCATGGCATTCATTTCCCTGAATTTTCTTTCCAGCACTCTCATTGCTTTTGCCTGTATGGTGTGTTTGATAGCTTGATAAACAAGTTACTTGTTACAAATATTCTCATCTCCTAGAAACTGAACATGAAGGAGGGATATAGTTTGGTTTTCAGCACTCATTGCTGTTTTCCTGCTTGGTTTTTCTTCATAAGTTGCTAAAGTTCGTTATTATTTTACTTAATGCTTAGACGAATATTCTTGAATGAGAGTATGTATTCTTACCGCAACTAACCGAGTGTTGCATCTCTCTATCTATGAACATCAGGCACAACCTTCGCCAACAACTGGGAAATTCTCATTTTTCCCAAATGGAAACGGCAAGAGCTCCAACATGATGTCTGACCCTGCTTATCGAAATAAAGATAATTACTTTGAGGGCATCAATTCGTCTTCTTTTGCTTTCAAGACTGTACCAGAAATGAGTCCCTCTTTCTTCACTGGTTCTGCAACAAAAGTAAGTGTATATATTGCTCTTAAAGATGCTCAGATTTTCTGAAGTAACAACAACAGATTTTGCTCGCCTTCCCAGTAACACCTTGTCTTGTCTCATCAGGCAACTCCAGTTACTCTCCCGCAGCAATCTTTTCCCAGCATTGAGGTTTCGATGCAGTCTGAGAATTCTCTCCACTCTCATGTAGAACAACATGCTAACAAATTCCTACCACCACAAAACAAATCGTCCCTTCATTTGGCGACAGACTTCTCAAAATTGGACAGTGATCAGAGGGAGAACTATGGTAAAGCTATTGCAACCAGTGATGCTATAGGTGGCAGTAGTGCAGCAGCACATTCTTCTCCCCTTCTTGATGATCAAGACGATGAAGGTGGCGATCAGAGAGTGAGTGGAGACTCCTCGCTCGTTGGTGCACCAGCTGAGGATGGATACAACTGGCGGAAGTACGGACAAAAGCAAGTGAAAGGGAGTGAGTATCCTCGGAGTTACTACAAGTGCACAAACCAGAATTGCCCGGTGAAGAAGAAGGTAGAGCGATCACACGAGGGGCATATCACGGAGATCATATATAAAGGAGCTCACAACCATCCGAAACCACAACTCAACAGGCGAGCAACCATTGGTTCTTTGAATCCTCTCGCTGATATGGCACTCGAAAACCCTGGAAATGACAACATTGAGGTGACATCATCAGCATCAGCTGTTGCCGCAGAGTTCGGCAATCAGAATCCTGGGGCCCATTTTGAGTCGAGCGAAGCTGTTGATGCCTCATCGACATTCTCTAATGATGAAGATGAGGATGATCGAGCCACACACAATAGTGTAGGGAATGATGGTGAAGGGGACGAATCAGAATCAAAGAGAAGGTTCTCTAACTAAAATCACCATATATGTTTGATCACGAGCTTTGATGGTCAGGTGGACTAATTTTTCTTTTTGGGACTGCAGGAAGATTGAAGCTTACCCTGCAGACATGAGTGGAGCTACCAGGGCTATTCGTGAGCCGAGAGTTGTAGTCCAGACGACAAGTGAAGTGGATATCCTCGATGATGGTTATCGTTGGAGGAAGTATGGGCAGAAGGTTGTGAAAGGAAATCCAAATCCTAGGTATGTTGGTTCAACAATTTGCCAGTTCTGAATTCATGTCTCTGTGCTTGCATGAAAACCGGGTCACTAAAGAATGGTCGCCACTTAAATTTTGAGGGTCACGAATGAATTGGTCACGGAACTTTTAGTGTCCGTTTACTTACCCCTGCTTGTAAAACTGAACATTATCACCCGGCTATGTTTTTCCAGGAGTTACTACAAGTGCACAAATGCAGGCTGCACAGTGAGAAAACATGTTGAGAGAGCATCACATGACTTAAAATCCGTGATCACGACGTACGAGGGGAAGCACAACCATGACGTGCCTGCAGCTCGCAACAGCAGCCACGCCTCTGCAGCTTCCGCACCTTCTTCCCAGGCAGGCCACATTCCACGGCCCGAGGCACCACAGGTTCACAACAACATGAACCGTGGTGGGTTCGATAGTAGACAGACAGCTGGCCCATATGGATCTTTCAGCTTGCCTGGAAGGCAGCAGCAGCAGCAGCAGCAGAACGGATTCTCGTTTGGAATGGGCCAGCCAGGTCTCGCCAACCTGGCGATGATGATGCCATCATCAGTTCATCATCCTTACTTAGCAGCAGCTCAGCAGCAAAGGTCTTATAGCGAAATGGGGTTCATGTTGCCTAAGGGAGAGCCAAAGTCTGAGCCTATGTCAGAGCCTAGTTTGAATATGTCGAACAATGCAGCTCTGTATCAGCAGATCATGAGTAGGCTGCCACTTGGACCTCAAATGTGAATGAATCTCTCTCACCTGGTTTATTTTCTTTGATGTTCAAACATTTATTTATTGGTGTTGCTTCATCATGGGTATTATTATATTATATTTTGTTGTTTGGTTTGGGGTTGCAACTGAATATAGGAATTTTTTACTTAATATATATGAATAGGAAATTTGATCTGGTTCTCATTCTTGCCTCCTTTTCGAGCTGCTATTTACATGTGTACATATATATCTTGAGAAGTATCACTGTTTATAACTTAATATCTTTCTTTTGCATCTCTACTACTGGAACTTATATGATTTCCAACCAATCGGTGATTGCATCTTACTAGCATCTCAGCCTATTATGACGAAGAATTTTGTAACAACTTGGCTGGACAAAGAATAAGCAGTAGTATACGCATTATACTATATGCATATTCATTTCCTTAAACGAATCGGAAAACTAAAATAGGTAAAAGAAGTAGACCATATTCATATCTACATATAATTTGCTAAAATGAACAAATAAATTCTATGAATTCCGATGCAAAAAATGGAGGATCAGCAGGTTCCTCTATCTTGCCAATCGCCATTCTTTAGTGACCATTCCCAATCAACTCCAGTTCATTCTCTTTTCGATGCTGATAGACCAGTTTTCTTCGAGCTATTTCATCTCTGCAGAGCCAAAAGCGAAAGAAGATGAACCACAAAACTTTCAGCACTTGAGGAAACAATGGCAACCAAGAAAATTATCAACACTCTAAAATGTTCATCGGCACCAGTAATCATATTAACCAATATCGAAGCAGCCACGAAATCTAGAGCTAGTCTGAGATGGTGAGTTGTATAAACCAATGCCCCTTGATCAAATGTGTTAGATGACGTCGGTCTAGAATGGGTAACTTAAAATCCTAGCTTTGAAGGGCATAAAATTTGACTTCTAAAGCCAACCAACACGAACCTGATATAATTCCAGATAGCATCGTAGTGAAGAATAGCCACAATCCTTCGCCTCCTCTCTTTCCAGGAGGATCCTCTACCATGTTTAACAACAGGTAACTGTTTGATTCCTTTGGCCTCCATAAGCTCTCTGGCAGTTGCCAAGTTGGTGTCGGGATAACATGTCAGAAGTCCACGTAATTGTCCACGGTAATTGATTCCTCGAGTGCAAACGGAAGAAACCAGACTGTTATTTACCTGTAAAATGAGCAGAAAAAAGAACATAGTTAAAATGTCATCAATAGAAAGAGCGTGTCCCATCAAAATACAGATGGAGCATTTACATACATCTGCAGGCGCGGGGACCACAGAAGGATCATTGTTTTTACTGGGAAGTCGTCTAATATCGCCGTAGGTTAGTATTCCTTCGAGTAAATCTTCATCATCAACAACAAGCACACAATTCTGTTTGTTGTCATCCATTTGTTTTATAGCTTCCTTCAAAGTCAATGCTGATGAGACCTTTGCATAGTTCTTTGACATGACCTGAGAAACCTGCCAAAGAAGAGTGGAACGGAATCATGGATGGAACAATTAGACCACTAACTTCAGAAAATGAGACTTCAAAATGAATTCTAAAACAAACACAGAGCAGGGAAAGCTTGAAACCTTTAGATCTTCCAAAAGAAGATCTTCGAGGACTGCCTCATGATCAGCTGAATTTTGCATTATACAGAGTTCTAGGTCATCTCCACCTTTGTCATCAGAATTTGAAATCGAAGAATAACCTCTGGTCAAAACACGTGTATCAGATAACTCAGGTTCCTTAGGCTGGTTGGCAACAGAAGGAACCCATATCGCCAATCCTACTGCTCCCTACAAGCAATATCATGACATGTAAGCTACCAAATTTTTTGTAGTAACAAACAGCCAGCAGCAAAGCAAATGATAGAGGGAGTTACCATGAGGGGCAGGATGATTCTGTAATCTTTGGTCAACTCAAATAGTAGCAGGACTGATGTCAATGGGACTGAACAAACTGACGCCAGTGTTGCAGCCATTCCAACCTACAATAAAGGATTAGGCCTTCAATAAACTTACCCTAAATAGTTTACTTTCTAAACCTGACATTAGAAAATCAAATATCGTGAAGTTTTGCAAAGCATACCAATGCATATGCCTGAGGCTGTGCAACAGCAGCATTTCCTGGAATGGCGGAATTGATGATTTCTGCAGCTAAGCCACCAAATACTGCACCAACTGCAGCACCAATCATCAAACTCGGAGCATAGAGGCCTCCAACGAGTCCAGATCCCTTGCATATAGCTGTTGCTACAACCTTGGCTACTGCAAGTTGGGTCAACAACCAGATTCCAGGAGCAGAAGCACTCTTTCCAGTGTGCAAGATTTCTTCAACATTTGTGAAGCCCCAGTACAATATTCCCGGATACTTAAGGGCAATCAACCCCGCCCCTAAACCACCTAAGGCGGGGCATACAACAGCAGGTAGACCAAACTTTTCCCTAATAAATTCAAATAGCTTAGTGAACCAAGCAACCAAGCGAGTGAAGACCACACTTACAGCACCACAGAGCATTCCCAATATCAGGTATAAAGGTAATTCTGCAAATTTAAGATCGGATTAGATACAGAAAGGAAAGCAGTGGTGAAAGGATAAATATGCATGTTTTTACACGTTCCACAGCCCTCAAGACTATAGTCATTAACTTCTATATGTCAATCTGGAAACAAATCACATGCAGGATGCTTATTGCAGAAGTTCACAATAATACACAGAACAAGCCTAGAAGTGATACCTGCAGCAGATTTCAAATCATATGGTGGCACTATAAAAGCTGATTTTGTTCCGAGCGAGACATTGGATACGGTTGATGATATGACAGAAGCCAATATTATCATTGCAGTTGTAAAAGGGGGCGAATTCTCAGCTCTGCGAGGCCTTAGGACTGTTTCAATGGCAAAAAAGCAGCCAGCAACAGCAGCATTGAAACCTGGAGGGGAAATGTCAGTAAACAGATTAGCAACCGGGCATTACAGCCATTTCCTCAGAAAGAATGCCAAAACGGAAGTTACATGCACATATAATAACAAAGTATGGGTAAGAATCCAAGCAAAGAAAGAAAGAAAGATCATGCAGATCCTGAAGAAATGTGCATGTTAATAGAGTAACATCTCTTCTCTAATAACATTGCTGTTTCATTGTCCAAATCAAATCATTCATCATGAACTACCCTTTTCACATTTGAGCACAAGGTAACAGTATTACTCTTCACACTCTGATATTTAAGGAAGTTAAATAAGGTTCTACTTTCAATTGCATGTTATTGGTTGTACAGACATGAAAACTGAGTATGAAGAGTCAAATTGCAGTATCATGAGGAAAATGTGAAATGGGAACCTCTAGCTCATTCCAATTCAATAAAAATGAAAAAGCTTTTGCCTTTCTTTTTCGGCAATTTGATGTTCCATAATAGATACCTGAAGCAATCCCAGCAGCCGCACCAGCAGCAACAAGTGCTGTTTTCCTTTCTCTGTTGTTTTCCATCATTACCGAAATCCCATTTGCACATGACTTCCCAATATCCACACTCGGCCCTTCAGGGCCCAAAGAACCACCAGTGCCTAGAGTAACAGCTGCCTGAATGGCTTTTATAGCGGGGAAGACTCCTTGGACGAAGTCAAAACCTTGCCTTGGAGAAGAAAGACTATTCATCCTTATTTGTTCCAATATTTCCACTAAACCATGCATCATCCCAACAATAACGCCTCCTGTTACTGGTATTAACAGAATTCGATGCCAAGTGTCTGCCAATCGTTGCAGACGCAGCCATGCTGCACCCTCATTTGGAGTTCCAGCCCATGCCCATTCGTGTATTACATGAACCTGATTGTGAAGATTATTAGTAGACTTCCAGAAAAGGGAAGAGGAATAGAGATGGAAATATCACGGAAGCACCAGTAACAGGATTAAATTACATCAGAATACACGAGGAGAACTAACATCAGCCTAATGCATCAAGAAATAAGGGTTCAGAAACTATTCTTGGCATTGAAAATGAGTTAGTTGCATCTAAAGTGATAGCATTTGTTAGAAAAAGCATTCACCATTGCATAAAGAACAAAATTGGAAATAAAAATTCAGGCTTTCAAAGGTTCTGCTAGCCGGACACTTGCATTTGCGTTCGTATACACAATTGGCTAAGCCCTCAAGATAACCAATGAAATTATGGAATTCAGCTACAAAATGAAACGAGAAATAGAGGAGGTAACCCACCCCTTTATTGAAAGCAGCGACGCAAAGACCAGTGGCGAGGCCGAGGAGGCAGCCGACGAGAAGCAATGCCCACTCCGGGGGCGCGGAATCCGCCAAAGCATCATCGTCGCTGCTATGATTCCCGTGGCCACTGCCACCACCTCCGCCTCCGTAGTCCTCGTGATGGTAGAGTTGATCCGAATTCCCGCCATCTCTATCCCTGTCCATACGCTTGAAACTTGAGTGTCGGCGGCCGGAAAAGCCGCGATCCAAGTGTTTGAGAAGCAGATCTTTGATCGCTCCTCCACTCCCACTAGCCCCGGCGGTGCCAGCTGCCGCCGTTCTGCTGGCGAAACCCCCGCTGGTGGTCGGGGTGGAAACTTGAGAAGCCATTTCCAAGTCGTCGCCCCCGCCGTTGTCTTCACCCCCGAAGGATCTCAGAAGATGAGCCTGATCACTGTATTCCGCTCTTTCCCCTGCCGCTCCCGCCATTTCTCTCCTCGATTCGAGATCAGATTGATGCCATGGAAAATGCTGCAATTAGATTTCGATTTCGATTTCAGTTTCTCTTCTTCTGCTTCTTCTCCCCCGATAATGCTCTTCTCTTCTCACGCTGATTACTATGAAGGAAGGCAAGGAAGACGAAAGAGAATTTCGGCCGATTTTAACATTTAATTATTGTTTTTATTCCAATCTCCTTTTCTTTTTGTATTTTCGGTTGCTTTGCTTTGATTCTCTATCAGAAATCGGATGACACGTCACTACAATAATTTATTTATCACTTTTTCAATAAAATAATCATTTTTTTACAATCCTTTTTAAATAAAATAAAAGTGTGTTCATCGTTTCTAAAAATATACAAGTTAGTTAGTTATTTATCTCTGTTTTTACCATGATATCACTTCACGGTTATTTATTTATTTTTATTATGTAAATATTGATATATGGATGACCAATGGCCTACCACATTAGATGCTCACTTGGGAGTTACATGTAACTCATATTTCTACATCATTATCTCTCATTCATATGCATTGATATAAGGATGTAGTGGTTACCAAAGTGTGTCTATAAATATAGCACACCATTGTATCAAAAGTGAAGAATGAATAAGAAGAACTCTTCCCTCTCTTCTCTTGTGTCTTTCCCTCTCTAATCATCTCTTGTAGTTGCTTATATTTTCATAGTTTCATAACACGTTATCAGCACGAAGCTCTGCTAGCATCATGGTTGGTCATTGTCTCTTTACACAATCCAGTATATTGGAGTAAGATCACAATATGATCAAGGTATGTAAATCTTATATCCTTTCTTATCTTATTGTCTTATTTGTGTTGACATTATCTCATTCCAATATATCAAGATGGGCGCTACTCTTTTCTCATATCCATTGATATTTTATCACGTCAATCTATTTGGATTAACAAGAAAAGTAATATAAGTGATGAGTTAATTTTTCAGTTCTCTGTGTTATCCTATTCTTATCAATCCCACATTGATATGTAGAAAATGCAAGTTCCAAGAGCCCATATATTCCCCAGAAGTGGAAATTGAAGAATTCAAAGGCAAATAAAGAAAAAAACATGGTAATAAGAATATTGGTTTTGTATGTTACCATTGTAATGGAAAATTGCATTTGTCTCGTACCCGTTGTACGCAAAAGACCCTATTCTACCAAGAATCAAAGGGAAAAGCTAATTCATATACGCTCTTGCAATATCAATATTATGGAACATATTTTTTGTATTATAAGTTGGTATATTCTCCATTAAAGATGAAAATGAAATTGCACTTGAGACATTTTCATTCCCAGAAGTGAATGAAACAATCTATTCCCCGAAGTGAATGAAGCTATAAACATGATTATATATATGTTAATGTATTGTTTAGATCTTTTCACCAGAAGTGAGAAAAGAGGAGAAAAAGGAGAATTATAAATAAGGATGACACAACAATTGCATTATCAAAGTCATGATAACATAATGTACCTGTTGTACATTATAATGTATATTAAACGCATATATAAATCTAAAATCACCTAGTTAGTGATGGTAATCTTCCAAATAAATCTTATTTAATTTTCACAATTTTAGTATTATGATTCTTATTTCTTTTATGTTTTATTGTGACGTTATTTTTCATGTATAATTTAATTTGATAACCTTTATCTTTAACAATTAACTTGATAAATTCATCATTTTTGTCTTAAGTTTGAAATATTCTCATTTATTATTTTAGTATGTTTTTGTAAAGTATGATTATTAGAAAAATTTCATATAAACTATATGGTAGAGTACATAAATAAGAAAAGCTTCCGAAAAGCTTATGTTTGGTTACTTGAAGTAACTAAATTATGTACTCGTGATAACAATTTGTGATGATATTCACTATGAATTAGTGTTTACTAAGAATGCATCAAATCATAAGTCCCCGGAAGAGTTGTATATGGTACAAAATATGGTAAAGCTTTAAAGGAGCTAATTTTGTGGCCTGAAGGAACCAAACTACCTAGTGATGATGCATTGCCCAATTAAAAGGATATTCATAAAATGAATATCTTATCAAGAAAATAGTGAAACTAATATTTGCATCACAAATATGTACTACATGTATATTAGTACAATCAGTACACATAAAAGTGTAAACCAGAAGTTTACAAGATTTGATAACTTGATAATTTGGTTGGTCCGGTTAGACCATCCCGGATCATGATGTGAAACAAATTATTGGAGAATTCATGAGAACATCATATGAGAAGGCAAAGAACTCTTCAACTAAAAGAGTTATTATGTCATGTTTGTTCTCAAGGAAAATAGAACAATTGATCATCGCTTGTAAAAGAGTTGATAAATCTCTTGAGATTTTATGGACATGTATGCAGAACAATACATCAATCATGTGGATCATTTGTGAATTTTATGGGTTGATGCATCAAATGGATGATCACATGTATTTTATCTAATCGCAACCCGATGTTTGCGATATTGGTTGCCTCACTAGCTATGGATACATTGTGATGGTTATCCAATCAAACATCACTTTGCTTAAGAGAACAAACTGAGCATTCTGGTCTCTTGTCGAGGACATGCTAGCTGGCAAGTGATAGTATTGGTTCACATCTAACCAACAAGTTATCATAAGTTCTCCCCTTTTACAAATGGTTTTGGTCAGAAACTTAACCTTTCTCATATGAGAATATAAGGGTGTGCGCATACATCCCAATTGCTCCACCACAGTATCTTAAGCTGATTCTCGTTGGAAATTGAGAATTTGTGTTGGGTATGAATCCCAAATGGGAAATTGGTTTGTGAAATTATTGTTTTGATGGATTAATTTCCCAACATTAAGGGGGAGAGGAAAAAAAACAGCTAGACAAAGAGATGAGTTGGAATGAGTTATCATTATCTAGTTTTGATCCTCAAAGTAGAAACATGAACCTGAAGTTCATAAGATGAATTATCATTACCAACTATCAAATGCCTTTACTGGTCATACGAAGTGACCAAGTCACATATACTAGCTGTGAATGCTCCAACTAAATTTGATATCCTTGTTGGATACTCTAATATAATAAAAAATGTGTATGAAAGAGCGCATGAAGCGTGATAGATCAATCGGTTCCAATGATAAACATCCTCGAGAAAGAAAAGGAGCTATAATTAGAATGGTCAACTCGAGGACATGAAAACTCAAGAAGAGTAACCAAGAATTAAGTATAATTTTAGTTCCAGAAGAACACATGTCTATGAAAGTTGTGAAAAGGAAGAGATCTCAAAAACATATTAGACTACAATACTGGAACCGAAATGAAGTCATTGTCGACGAAATTTGTTTGTTGTACTTCAGTACTGAATATGATATATACAAGTGAGGATCAAGAGTAAAACTTTATTGATGCATGAAAATGATAATGTTATTGGCCAATATAGAAAGAAATCATGAAACTTGCTCAAGGAGCATAAAGTTTAAGGACCAGAAGTCCTTGCACCTAAAAGAGGGCAAAAATAGCGGGATACAAACAAATTTTTGTGCTATTGGAAAGTATGAAATTGTGAGAGATATAACACAATGTTTTGCAATGGGTTTCTCGAAAAGACCTATCATTGTTTAAGAGGAGTTATACTCCCCTGTGGTGGGTGCAACTAATTTTTCAAATCAATGTTTGAAAATTATTGTGATAGCCTATTTGTTTGAATTCCCTGAAGATGTTAAATATATTTAAAACTCCCAGAAGGATTAATTTACCTGAAGTAAACAAGTAAAGTTCTCGAGAATATATAATGATAGACTAAGAATATCCCCTGTATGGGTTGAGAAAATATAGACGAATGTGAAATACTCGTCTAAGTGAACACCTACAACAGTAGGGTGAATGGACCTTAAGAGGTTAAATCCGGATAGAGTCATTAGAGCATTTGCATTGTGCATATATACTTGTGTTGTCTGTATGTGCTTCAAGGATTTTAAATTCTTGATTTATGAGTTGTGATTTACTTTAAAGTATGAGTTGTGTTTTATGAGTGTGCTTTGTCTAGTTCGTATGTTTCTATGATGTGTGTTTTGTTAATATCTTTCGTGATATGAAAGAATTGCTTGCTTCAATTTGTTTTAGTCAAGTTTTTTTTTTACCATCTCATATTATGTTGATGATATGTCTATTATTGGAGCTCCTGAAGAGCTTCCTAAATCAGTTGATTGCTTAGAGAAATAAGTTAAATTGAAGGATTTAAGATCCTTTGATGGGCAAGGAAGATAATGCTGAAAAAGTGGAAAAATAATTTTGCATGAACAAATTATGTTCATCAAATAACATTAGGATTCTAAGATCACTAGAAGTGACCAAGATCCATTTATGCAACAAGAAAGAAGTAAATCATTAAGTCCTGAAGTACTAAATGTTGATGTAGGTCCTGAAGTACCATATGTTGATGCATCAGAGCACCAATGAACCTTGCTAGCAAAACACCATACAAAATATCATTTTGGTGTTGATAATATTAGCAAAATACAATATTTCCCTCCATGGAACGTTGGAAAATACTTTGTTATCTTTAGGAACAATATATGCGATTGTTCTATTATGGTATTATCAAAGAGTGATTTGGTGAATTATATGTACCATTTGATCCTCATATTGGTTGATCGGAGATGAGCTATATCTCTTACATATGGTGATATAAGTGTTTCATAGAGAAACAAACAAACTATAGTAGGCAAGTCCTGAATATATTCCGTTACACTTTGTGATTCACCATACCTAAAGGACTTGTGGTTGTGAACTATTTTCAAAGGAAATGATCTTGACGATCATGTATGAAGAAAATCTTAAGATCATGGATCAAATTGACAATCTAGTAGATTGTTCACTAACTCACTCCCGACAACAATATTTCTAAAAGTTGCTCGTGAAATTTGAGTTCAAAGACTCAAAGATTTGAAGTGATGTGGTCATGAGGGGGAGCATATACGCACTGCACTCTTTTTTCCTTCACCATGGTTTTTTCCCACTGGGTTTTCCTGGTAAGGTTTTTAACGAGGCAGTATGAGATAGCGTAATGCAGTCTAGTGGTCATCCAAGGGGGAGTATTATGTAAATATTGATATATGGATGACCAATGGCCTACCACATTAGATGCTCACTTGGGAGTTACATGTAACTCATATTTCTACATCATTATCTCTCATTCATATGCATTGATATAAGGATGTAGTGGTTACCAAAGTGTGTCTATAAATATAGCACACCATTGTATCAAAAGTGAAGAATGAATAAGAAGAACTCTTCCCTCTCTTCTCTTGTGTCTTTCCCTCTCTAATCATCTCTTGTAGTTGCTTATATTTTCATAGTTTCATAACAATTTTCCATACTAAAAAGGTAAAATTAAGGACTGTAATAAACAATTTCCCCTTTCCTTATAGACCATCTGTAGTCTGTACATGCAGAAGGCCTGAAACTGCACTTCCAACAATCAAAGAAGGTAATTGTAAAAGGATCAGTTCTACTCTCTATATACCAAGAAGGCCAAAATGGTGGTGGCTAAAGAATCCCTCCGATCATAAACACTAAATTCAAATGCCCCTCGTCCAAAAACCACCACCTTTCAAGCTCCCATGGCTGACAAATCACCAATATAATCTTTCCACATCTCACCAGCTATGGAGTCCCGAATCGATGGCTTCTCGATCTGCATTAACATAATATCGTCTTCATACGTACGAAATATCAAGTCATCTGGGTTTGCGATGAGTTATGAGTACGGAGGAGCTGCCATTAGTATCGGGAATCGTGCTGTCAATGCTGCAAATGTTCGGTCAATGGCAGTTCTAAGGGCGGAGTGCCTCAGATTAAAGTATTCTCGAGCGTCCCGAGTATGGTTTCCTGCTGATGTTGGTGTGCTTGCTGTCAACAAGGTATACTTGCCTGTCTCAATCACCAGATTTTGAGCGCAAGAATTTCAGGTAGAGCTATAGGTTCATAGGCCCAAATATTTACTTACTTAACAAGCAAATAAGCAATCCAATCTTCTCACGGAACCGGGTTTGATCAGAACTTCCGCAGTTTTTAGTAGTAGGCTTCATCCACTCTTATCAGATTAAACAGGTAGTGCATTTCGAAGAATATCGAAAACCAGCAAAGCTCTATCAGTTCTCATGGAGAATATTACAATTTAGATTTACACACCATCGGTTTATTGTCTCAGCTCACTTCTGTCATTAGACTTCAATAACCATCATCCGTATCCACAGAAACTCCACATAACAATGAGAATGTCCAAATCAGCTTAGCACCCGCGAGACAGTTTACGAAGCAGATGACAACGCTGTTTATTGTTCATGACTCCATCAAACGATCCATGATCAGTTTGACAGCAGCGGGAGCATCAACAGTCACTGCTACCTTTACCGTGGGTTTGTCAGACCACTCGGTAACCTCTTCAAACCTATAAAAAATATAGGCAACATGGTTCAACAAAATCCATAAGATTCGTAGAACCTAGAGGTAGTAGCTTCAGGATGTCAAGGGACCAACTAGAAACTATGAATGACTCTCTTGAGTAATCACCACAACTCACCTCTTTTGTTTATTGTAGAGTATCGTGAGTCCCCTTGTAATGCCGACGGTTTGGACTCTAACGACACCTTCTGTGTAAGTCATAAGTGAAGGATTTACAGCTGCAAGAACGGTTGTCGGATCATGAAGATAGACCCCTACATCAAAATTTGCAGCACAAAAAGGAACCAGTCACTTACAAAAGACTTGAAACGCCGTGTCCAGTGCAAGTGAAATTGAAAGAGATAGGTAAACAAACAAACCTCTAGTGCTATATGCATCATGATGATAAGAATAGTAGATGCCCATGATTTTGCACAAATACTGAGCAAATTTCCCATTTGAATTTGCTAGTTTCTCTCGATCAGCATCTATAAACAACCAAGCAGCAGAAAAAAGTTTAAAAGAACAAACCTTTATTGCAGTGTTCACTAGTAAGAAACAAGCAAGTTACAACTATTCACTGTGTATGTTGGTCTAATTTTTCCTCAACGTATGCCAAACAGACGCAGTAGGTAGGTAGATACCTGTCAAAACAACTTGGTGTGTCACATTTATGCCAACAGCCACGACATCAGCCCCGCTAGTGAAAACAATATCAGCAGCCTCAGGGTCACCAAAGACCTGCTCAACCGATTTGAACTTAGATATAAAAGGTCCCTTCATAGTAAGAGCCTTCAAGTATGTAATCTCCCAACAATCCATCTAAGCTGCTTAGCCAGAGTGAACAGGACAGCAGCCTATGCAACTAAAAGCATTGAAAAGAAGAACAAGTACATTGACAACAGAAGAAGACACGCTGCCATTAACGGACAAAAGAGAGCATTGCAAACAGATAGCAAGAACCTTAGAAAAATCTTCCATTACCAGGACCCTAAAACCTCCACTGACTAGACAATTTAATCATTTGGTACACTTTTGTTCCCATTCAAGAAAGATCATTGCAGTCAAAGAATAATCAATCTCAAAATCCAAAGTAGAGAACTTAACACAAGGAGTATGCTATACAACATACATTTGCCTCTGATGCAGGATTCACATTGCCATTCACACAAAATGCACCACCAAGGAGAACAATCTGCCCAACGTTCTTTGCGAAGGCAGGATCCAACTCAATAGCCTGCAGAACAGATAGTACATTCAAGAGCAAAAATAACAAACCAATTCCATAGCATGTAAGAAAAAGGAGCATTATAATAGCTGTAATCTAACCAGTGCTAGATTTGTCAGTGGACCCAATGCAACCACAGTGACTTCCCCAGGGTGAAGACTTGCTTGCTCAACAAGGAACTCAGCTGCTGATTGCTTGATAGCCTTTCCACTGGGTGGGGGGAAATTCTGATTCCCTAGTCCATCAGAGCCATGGACGAAATCAGCAATCCGAAGCTTCGTACCTTTCTTTTCTCACACAAGATCAAGAAGCAACAAAACTATGAATCTGGGGGACATTATGATCATCATCACAAAAAAAGCAGAACACTTGATTGATTGATTGATTGATTATCATCAGAATTGAAAGATGGTAAGGGGTTAGTTAGGGGTGAATCGACTACATACAGTTATAGTAACATGAGATCCCTCCGCCACCGGGATATCAGTCCTTCCAGCAACCTCCAGCTAAAATTCACAACAACAACAAAAAAATTCAGCAGGCGAAGGGAATCCAACTGAGAAATCAGAACAGCTTCTTCTCACGGGTCTTACCAAATGCAAGGCATTCATGGTTGCGAGAGTGGTGTAGACGTTGCCATAGATGGTCGTCAACCCGATCACCTCCACTTCAGGAGACCGTAGCGCGAGGAATATCGCCATGGCGTCATCTGCAGTCCCCAAACAATCATTCAATCGATTCAAAAAGTTTCTGGCGACAAGCTAATGAATGAGGAGGAAGAGAAGTGAAATAAAAGAAGCGTGCGTCTTACCGATTCCGGGATCGGTGTCGATGATGATCTTCTTCGGCGTCATTGTTTCACAGATACGGAATTCCGGCGACGGTCCGCTGACTTCGCCGAGCAAAGGTGGAAAGGGATTCGGTTGGATTCAATTCGTATGGGGTTTCTTCTTCTTGCCTTTTTTGGAATCACGATGGACACTGATGACACTTTACAGAGGATGATTATAAAATTGGAGTATTAGGCGGAGCCACGTGGTCAAGTAACCGGTGGCACCTGGATAATACTGATCTTTTGGTTTAGTGATAAAAAAAATTGTTATTAGTCGCTCTAAAAAATTTTATTTGTCGCCCTAATTAAGTTAATTTTATTCTAATACCCCTAATTCACTTATTTGTAGTTTAAACATTTAAACCCGAAGCACTTCTACTATGCTATATAGCATTGATGCTTTAATGTACAACACAAAGTTCTACCATAACATTAAATGTATAAGTTTAGGTTGTACCATAAAACAATTTGTATCATTATGTATAAGTTTATGATGCTCACCAAAAAAAAAAAAAATGTTATGATACAACTTTACAACTTGAAATTGTACCATCACATAAAAGTACAAATTCAAGTTGTACCATAAAAGAATTTGTACAAAAATATAGGTACAATCTGAAGTTGTACCATAACGTAAACCACAAAGACAAAGACCTATAGCACCAATACTATATAACATTGTAAAATTTCTCTTAAACCCGAAACAAACTTCTTAATATATATTAAAGTTGTCGGGAGTTACTGTTGCACTAGAGTTTCTCTAGCCTATGCAACCGGTTACTTTTCTCTGCTAACAGCCAATTCTTCCTCAACACGTGGCTCCTGCGATAGAAATTGGCGGAAATGTGACTTTGATACGTTTCTCCCGAGTCCCGTCGTCTCTCTCGATTCGAATCGGCTACTGAATGTCAAGGCGTCAACTCTCCCTGATCTCATTCTTAATCCTCATGCGGATCATTTTTTTTTCTTTCTTCATTGTTTGCAACCCCTCACTAGATTTCAACTCGATTTGGAGAATTAAAGTTGTGTCCAGCCTATTCACGAATTTTATTAATTTATGGTGGGAATTGGGTTTGGATCCAACTATGATGCCAGCAAGGTATTCTTCGTCGATCCAAGTCCAACTTCACCTCTTTCTTCCCTTTATTTTCCACTGCAGCGATGTAGATGGCATGGCAGCAACAATAAGAGGGGCTCCTGTCAGCGGTGGTAAGGGAAAAAGCTAGACCCCTGTTCTGTCTATTAAAGGCGGCCCGGGAAAATCGTCGTCAGGGACGATAATGTTTCAATGGGATTTATGTGTATGATTCATTTTGAGATTGTTATGTTGTTGTGCATGTTGAATTAATTAATCAATTCGTAAGCATAGATGGGAATTGCGTTTGAGCTTTTGGTACTGATAATTTTCGAAAGTAGGAGAAGCGCAAGTGTTAGCCAAAAACAAATCTTCTGATCTTTCAATTTTGGTTTCTGATTGGTTGATACATGTATAAAAATTCAAGTGCCTGATTTCGACCATGTACAAGGATTGCAATCCTCTACAACTACAACACATGGTCCCCGTTTTCCTTTTTTGTTTGTATTGGGTATATGTTATGTTTTGTGCCGTTGATGAGGGATGAAAAATTCGTTAAAGAGATTGGTTGGTTGGGGGTAGGGGATGCTAAGCATATATGGTTATTATCATTTATCTCATTGGTAAATGGTAGCTGTTCTGCAAAGAGTAGAGACTTTCAGCTATTTGGCATATAGGATTTCAGTACTTCGTGTTAAGTACTCAACCAAAATGCATTGTGTACGTCTGCTGATGGTACTAATGTGAAGCTTTTATCAAATCATATTCATGGTTCATTCCAAGTTTAATTAGCTTATTATTTACCTTTCTAAACTAATCTATGAGGCATTTGGTAGCCTGCTGTGGGCAAATACCACTCATTTATTCACTGGCCACACATACTGCCCTTTATATATCTTTCCCTGCTTTCATTAGCTCATTGTTGCAAGGCCACCAATGTCTTTGTTGTCTCAGGGCTCTGCACTGCTAAAGAAACTTGATATTTTAGGTGTTTGCTATATTTTTATTATAAATTGGCTATGTTGCAGGTTGGCCATGGACTGAAAAGTAAGAAAGTAAAGAACTCACTGGTGTAACTCTTGGAGGTGAGCTACTGTAATTTGGGGTTCTTAGTTGCAGCTGTTTATTGTTATAAATTATGGTTGACCACCAATCCAAATATGACGTTTCGATTGTATTTTATCATTTCAATCTTGATTGATGACAGCCAAATTCAAGGCGTCAATATTAGAGGAGCTTAGAATATCAAGATAGGATCTGGAGGAAACATCATTTGGATATAATTAATTTAGTTTAAACTGTAGTTTTTGTTGTCTCTTGGTTTTTTATGGCATCTTCTTTTATCATGATAGCATCTTTTGATTCAGTCGATTGATTATGAGGTGGACGGGTTATCAAATTATGCAAAATAAACTCTATTCATGATGCAGCGTAGCGCAGCACATAACCACCTAGTATAAATTAAATTCATAGCCAATAAACACTATCTTTCCAATCTAAATTGTCAAAAACCCATTTAGCAGAAGAGAATTAACCCCAATTTAGCATACAAAGCAATAAGAGAATTGAATGCTATAGGATTAGAATCTGTCCATGAAAAGTGATCCTTGCATGAATCTGCTTAGCGAAACCAAAATCAATGCCACCATTCCCGCATCGCATTGGCAAAGGTAAATTCATTAGGGCTCACGGTCACAGCTACTGCTAACTGTTGCGAGAATGACCCGCGAGACCCGCGACGTAAATTGGATTGAGAGCCATATGGGTTTTTGGAATTGAGAGAAGATGTTCCTCATGAAAGCTGAATGGCCATTGGGTGGCTTTGTATCTTGGAGGGCACTGGGGAGTTTCATGTCTAGTTTAACAGCGACGGTCGAGTAGCAGTAGCAGAAGCAGATGGTGGGAGCAGGGGATTCTGGGTTTCTGCGGCGGATGTGGGTTGGGGTGAGTGAAGGGATTGATTGGTTAGGATTAGATTTGAAATTAGGTTGAGAGAGAAATATGTAAATTTATCACATTTTAGGGCGATAAAATTCAAATTTTAGGGTGACGAATAGCGATTCAGAAAAAAATGGGTTAATTGCATCATTGGTCACTGAGATTACAAAAAACGTTCAAGTTTGGTCACTCAAAATATTTAAATCCATTGGTGGTACTTCAATTTACTGAAACCATTCACATTTGGTCACTCTCCGTCCAACTCCGTTAAGTTTTGCTGGCGTGGTGGTCAACTCTAAAATTTGACCGTTAAATGTGTGACGTGGCAATTTAAAAATAATAAATTAAATTTTCAAAATTGTCATCTCATTTCCACTCATTTGAAAAGAAAGAACCGGAAAAAAACAGAAAAACAAGCGGAGCTCGCTGCTGTTGACTGAGCAAAGCCTAATGAAGAGGAATTACAAAGATGAGAGTCGAGTAGAGAGAAGTTGGAGAGAGAAACGTAATTAATTTCCGGCATGACCCAACAAACATTCAGTAGGTAGGCTCTGTTTTCTCTTCCGACAACGCCAGCGACAGAGTGAGGAATTAGTTCCGGCTCGGAGGTTTGAGGGTTGTTACCCAGCATGATCATCCGATCATGAATAAGCCTTTTTTTTCTGCGAGAAAAAGCTCTTACGGTCGAAAAAGCTTGGCATGACAGGAAGAATCCCTTTCTATGAGAACACTCTGTTAAGATTGAAGTTCTGCCTCGGCTGCCTGTGAGAACACTATGTTACAGCTCAAGTACGTCCTCATACGTTGGAAGGCCTATCATTGAGAATCCCTTTCTATGGCTTCTATGCATTCTCAACAAACTACAACAACTACCAAGCCGAAGCTGCAAAATGAAAAACATGTAAAGCGGAGTGTCGGTCCTCTGGCCAGTGAAGGAGCCACCTGTTTGAGCATTAGTTAGGCAGAGTGATGGATTAAAGAACACATAATGAAGAAGTTTCAACCGGTATTTGAAAGAGGGCTTTGTTGAGGGAATCAGATTCGGAGGTGAATGAAAAAAATTACAATCACAACGGCCATTTCTTTATAGAACCCATAGAGAAAGAGAGATGGCAATTTTCAGTTTTCACATTTAATCCCCATCGTGGAAATGAGATGATAATTTTGAAAATTTTAATTTTATTAATTTTAAATTGCCACGTCACACATTTAATAGTCAACTTTTAGAGTTGACCGCCACATCAGCAAAAGTTAATGAAGTTGGACAGAGAGTGACCAAACGTGAACGGTTTCAGTAAATTGAAGTACCACCAATGGATTTAAATATTTCGAGTGATCAAACTTGAACGTTTTTTGTAATCTCAGTGACCAACCATGCAATTAACCCAAAAAAATTAATTAAGAGAGAAAATCAAACCTTTCATGTGACAGTAAATTAAAGTACCACCAATGAATTTAAATATTTCGAGTGACCAAATTTGAACGTGTTTTGTAATCTCAATGACCAACAAAAAAAATAATTAAAAGAGAAAATCAACCTTTCATGTGATTATTTGGTAATTAATTCAAGGATATGGTTCCATCCAATTATAAAATGAGGTTGTTCACTTGTTCTTGTTAGTCTTGGTGTAATTGTATTGACTTTGTGATTGATTAGTTTTATTGATCCATTTTTATACGTTTTGTTTCATATTATACAATGTATACAAGGATATCAGCTCGAAACTCGAAAATAATAATCAAGATTTAAAGATTATTATTTTTAATCGTATTTGGATGTGTTCTATGATGACATTTTTAAGGTAAACACTCTGGATTTATGTTATCATTATGATTGGATGAACCAAACAAAAAAAAAAAAAAGTCTACGAATCTACACTTGACCTGAAAGTCCCATTCCTGGGACCTGTAGTGACACGAGAACAAGAAACAATAGCCAGTCCAATAAATGCTTCAACGACTATATCTTATTGAAGAAAAACGGTGATATTGCTCCTCAATTGATAAAAAATTTCGATTATGAAATAATGGTGAGCCACACAAATCTAATACAATTTTACATAAATTATTATTATAGTAAAAAAAAATGAACCACAAATTAGAAATTACTCAATTTGAGAGATCTAAACAACAAAATATAAAATAGTTAGAAAAAATTAATATCAAACTATTGGACAAATTACTTAATTTAACAAATTAAATCCGATCCTCATAAGTCATAACCAATATATTTTAATCAAAACCCAAAGTAATATAATATATTATATATATGGGGAGGGAGGGAACAACAAGCGAAGACGACGGAGGATCCAATTACTATTCAAATCAATCAATGGCCTCTTTTCTTCCATTCTCATCCTCCTCGCTTTCACTTGTCTAATCTATACCTTTCCTTTTTGCCCAAATCCAAAAATTAACCCGTAGAAGTCAAATTCTCTTCCTTTTTTACCAAATCTATCTACCCTTTGTCTCCTCCCCAACCTTCGCATTAGATTCTTACCTTTCCCACCCTCCCTGTTATCTCTTTTTCGCATCAAGCTTGTTTCCCTCCAGTTTATTTCCTGCCTTGCGCGCGCGGATCCTCTGCCGAATCAAGAGTCTCAGTTTTTGCAGGTAATGTGTATGAATCTCTTATGAGCTTTTCTATTGTGTCTGTATTTGGCAGATAATTTAAAGGTATCAACTTTCTCTTGTAATCTGGGCTTACGAAGTTTCTTCCTTCGTACGCTTTTTATCGACCTAGATGGGGAATGAGGTGCAGAGGGAATTGGCTTGCTCTTATTTTTTTGGGTTCATTTCCGTTCATCAATATTGGGGCATTGGTTATAGGTCATGAATTTTTGTTCTTTCTGGCTGTGTTTGATACCAGTTGAACTTTAGGGTGGAAATAGGGTTGATTGACTTCTTCTATACATGGCGATCTTCTGTTTTTATTCTTGTTTGTTTTGCTCAAATGTAATTGATGCTGCATCCTGTTTGGTTTCTTTGGCGATTGGACCATGCCTAGAATGACTGCTCCGAATGGGATTTCTTTCCAAATGGTAAATATGCTTTTGGAGAGTCGGGGAGAGATTAGTATTTGTGATCTTGTATGCATTTGCAATGCTGAATTTGTTAGGAATGTAATGAGTCTCTTTGTTCTTTGTAGTGTATCAACCTGTGAACCCAAGGGCGATAAATTTCGTGAGCACTCATTAAGATGGATCGGGCAATAAATCATTGCTCATAATTCAAGGATATGGACCAGAGGTTACCTGTTGCAGGAACTCGATCAGGACTCGAAGTAAGTTGCTGCTCAGAAATCTGTTTCCCCAGAAGTTCCTGGGAAATGTAGTATCTAGGATAGATTTGTATTATGCATGTTCGCCTCTGGTTCTGATTATTGTAATAATTCTTCACATTTTAATCGTGACAGATGGGAACACTAATTAGAAATGGCTCTGCTCATTTTGAGGATAAGAACGTTTATGCTTCAAACGTGATGCCTCAAAAGATTCGCCCCACAGCTGAGGGGTTGTCATCTAGGAGCAGTATGACATGGCAGAGTAGTGTATATAGGAGCATAAAGATTGTAATTTTCTCAACCAAACTGAACTTGCTAATGCCTTTTGGGCCACTTGCAATCCTAGTGCACGCATTCAGCGGCCATAACGTGAGTCCGTAGTTTTGTACTTTGATGCCTTGTTGTATTGTCTGATGTGCTAATTATGTAGTTTTTGACTGCAGGGATGGGTCTTCTTTCTGTGTTTGTTAGGCATTACACCTTTGGCTGAGCGCTTAGGCTATGCGACAGAGTAAGATTTCCTAATTACTTCCTTTCCAATGGTTAAGATGATGAATTAGTTAACATGCTGGTGCCTAATAGTTTGCTTGATGGTTTCACATAGGCAGCTGGCTTTCTACACCGGACCTACAAGTATGTAGTGATGTCTTCATTTTTACTCTTAAAAATACCATTCTCAATGATCTTAATGAATTGACCGACCCTCTCAATGCAGTTGGTGGCCTTCTAAATGCCACGTTTGGAAATGCAACTGAACTCATCATTGGCATATATGCCTTGAGAAATGGAATGACTAGGGTTGTGCAGCTTTCTTTGTTGGGTTCGATTTTGTCCAACATGTTATTAGTGCTTGGATGTGCATTCTTTGCTGGCGGACTTGTTTTCTATAGAAAGGAACAAGTGTTTGACAAGGTATATGCCCAACCCTTTCCCTGTTTGCTCTGGTTTGGATTTTATGGCAATTTTCTTCCTTAACATTTTGTTCCTTGGCAGGCAAGTGCTACAGTGAATTCAGGATTGCTATTGATGGCAGTGATGGGTCTTCTTTTTCCAGCTGTCCTACATTTTACACATACAGAAGTGCATTATGGAAAATCAGAGCTTGCTCTTTCAAGATTCAGCAGTTGCATTATGCTTGTAGTCTATGCTGCCTATCTCTTTTTCCAGTTGAATACTCGGAAGGATTCCTACGTTCCTCTTACCGAGGTTGGTTACTGTTCAAAACTCAAAGCCGTTTACTATATATATATATTGGATTTAGCATGTGACAGAATGTTTGCTTCAACTCAGGAAGCTAGTCGTCAGGGCGTGGATCCGCCTGAAGATGACGATGAAGTCCCGGAGATCACTAAATTTGAAACGATAGTTTGGCTTTCGATAATGACTGCTTGGATTTCCATCTTATCAGAATATTTAGTTGATGCAATAGAGGTACAAGAACTTGAACCCTTTTGGTACCTTTTGCTATACTGATTGCACCAAACGTTTGAGTAGTTTTATGTGATATTCAGTTATCAACTTATCTTAGTGATATGTGGCAGATGAATTAAATACTGCTTATACAATATACTGTTACGACATAATTGAACAATATATCTGTTGTGATAATTGTTTCATAGGGAGCATCGCTTGCATGGAATATCCCTATTGCCTTTATTGGAGTAATCTTGCTCCCAATTGTCGGGAATGCAGCGGAGCACGCTAGTGCTATTATGTTTGCCATGAAAGATAAGCTCGTACGAGATCTACATCCCTACCTTTCCATCAATTTATAACCAATTTGAATTTGCTACTGAAAAAATGTTATTCGTTGCCCACAAAACGTTACCTGTATCATCCTTATAAAAAAATATTATTCATTGCAGGATATATCCTTGGGTGTGGCAATCGGTTCGTCCACTCAGATATCTATGTTTGGGGTTGGTACTTCTATATTTCTATGAAATGCTTGCATAAGGATAAATAACGTTGTTTGTTATAGATGTGGATATAGGTAACCTCTTTTCGGGTTTAATCCACAGATTCCATTTTGTGTGGTTGTTGGATGGATCATGGGAGAACCCATGGACTTAAACTTCCAACTTTTCGAGACAGCAACTCTTTTCATCACTGTTATCGTTGTGGCCTTCTTCCTCCAGGTTCTTCGTCTTACTCCACTCTCTGTCAAATCATGTAGAATTTATACTTCGTCGATATTGGGGTGAACGTTTCATGGTACTTGATGCAGGAAGGGACTTCTAACTACTTCAAAGGACTGATGTTGATTCTTTGCTACATGATTGTTGCTGCAAGTTTCTTTGTGCACGAAGATCCTTCTTCCGAGAGTCAGTCCTTGTCTCTATAGTCTTGTTGATCTCTCCTTACGTAACCTTGTATTAGGCTTGATTTGTTCCTGGTTCATCATGCCATTTTTACAGAAGGAGGGCCAAAGACATAAGTTACTGTTGGTGCATGACCAAGAAAGCTCACCAATCAGGCCTTGCTCGTGATGGTGTGTACATAGTTAAAGCCCTTTCACTTGGGAACATGATATATATTTTTCCAGGTCTCGTCCAAAGCTTCCGTCTTAGTTGTTTTCCTGTTAAACACGGTACTTGTTCTAGCTGATGTCTTGGTAGGCGGGTTATGGAGAGGAGTTTTAAGGATGACATATCATTAATGTTCAATTGTTCATACTCCAACAAAAATGGGAACTCTAACTGGCTTCTGTAATGTCTGCTTGGTGAAGATACTATGGTTATAGCTCATCTATCTTGGTGTGGTTTGTTTGGGTTGTGGTACAGTCTGGATTCAACCCTCACCCGACCCGGAAACTCAAATTTTGTATTGATGTTTCCCTATATGTAGAAACTGCACGTTTCGTTTGAACATTTGTTAGTACTGTTTCTTGGTTTTGGTTTGGAGGGAAAGCAATTGTTTTGTTCTTGGCCTCCTTTTCTTGTTACCAGTTGTGAACAGGAGATGCTTGTTCCAAAACCAGTGCTCAACTGTATTGATTCTTTTTTTTAATTGGTTAATTAATTGTACCCTTCACGAAGAAAATTATCTTAGAGAGTGATATTGATTGTATGGAGATTAAGAAAGATTATAATCGGGCTGGAATACCACTCATCAAGTTCAACGTCCACCAGGCTGCAACACGCTAGATGATGGAGAAGCGTGATAAAATTGTTAATTAGATATGTATTATGTAACAACGATCAAATTTATTAGTTTCTTGTAAAGAACCTTATTAATGTAAGGCAAAATACACTTGTATAGCCATAACTTTCACGTTTGTGACAAATATAGCCAAAATTATTCGAAAACCAAAAATAGCCAATTCCGTCCATCTCTTTAACGGTGTTACTTAACAATCTGACTGTACTGACGGAATATGCTGAGTTGGCGATTTATGATCCCCACCAAGCCGATGTGGATTAAAAAAAATTAAAATATAAAAAATCATTATTTATCTAATAATTTTAGTTTAAAAACAAAAAAAAAAAAAATTCCAACCTTATACCCACCGCCCATCTTTCTCCCATCTTCCTCCAACTGTACATCTTCCCCAATTCAACCAAGATCCTCCCCTGTTCTCACCTTCCTCTCTCCCTCTCTCTTCTTTCCTCTTCCGCTACGAACAACACCTCCCCTCTCTTCTCAATTCCAGATCATCGCTTCCCCCCACAAACTCAATCCATACCGCCGACAGACAAAGAAGGCGGCTATTGAAACCCAAACTCGACGCCGCCTCCGCGCCCAGACCCAAGTCCGAGTTCCCGGGAACAGATTCATCAAACTCTTCCCCGGCGATTGAAACCCAAACTCGACGCCGCCTCCGCGCCCAGACCCAAGAATATGTATTCAAAAACACCAACCAACAACTACAACAAGGAGTCGAGAGATTCTCCACCGCCACCAGCGAGAACCTTTCAATCGGCGACGTGGTGAGGAACGCCACCAGCGAGAAAATTTCAATCGGCGAAGAAACGCCTTCAATTGGCGACCGGGCACTTCCAAACGACGACAAGAAGCCTCCAATCGGCGGCGGGCAGCACTTCGATATCCAGAGGCAAAGAGCAGCAACCTGCTTGTTTCTTTTCCCTCGACCTACCACTCCAAATCCTCCATCCCCACTGCTCCTTCTTGCAGCTAATATTGTTTCCTCGAGATTCGCCCAATCAGTTCATCTACAGAGGGCTGGTCGGTGGTGAGAAACGAAACGGATTTCATCAAACCAGGACGAAGAACCCGATCTGGAACTGAGCCGAAATTGCAGGGATTGTCGCCGCTCCGGTGGCGAGAGGATCTCGATGAAGTGCGATTGGAAAAGAAGACGCCCTCTCGGTCCTCTTGATGGGGATGAGGTGCGATTCGAAGGGAGAAGGATCTGGAAGGTGGGGAGGTATTGTTGAGATGGGCATGGCCACAAGGGAAGCGGTTCCAGAGAGGGCGAAGGTGAGATTGGAATTTGTGAGGAAGGGGAAGGAAATTTTTGGGTAGTGTTTATGGTGGTGACGCGGGAGATTCGTAGTGACGGTGACCGCGGCGGCGGCCATGGATGGGAGGAAGGAACAGAGGTGGGAGGAAGGAGAAGGGGATGGTGGCGGTGAAGGGGAAGGGTTAGGGTTTTTTGGTTTCTTTTATGATTAAATATTAAATGTATTTTTTATTCATATTATTTTTTTATTTTTATTATATATTATCATATATAATCTACATGTCACTTTATGCTGATTTGTCGATGACGTGTACGCTGATTTGGCGTCCTAATCAGCAAATCACTAACAAAATTGACGGCGTCACTAACACCGTTAAAGTTTATAACGGAAATGGCTAGATTTGTCACACTACCCTCCAATTTCCTGGCTATTTTGGGTTTTCGAATAGTTCTGGCTATATTTGTCAAAAACGTGAAACTTATGGCTATACAAGTGTATTTTGCCTTAATGTAAAGTATTATTATGTTTGTGGGACTATGCTTATATTGAGAGCATATTCCTCTTTTCTGGTTTTAGTTCTTGAAGAAGTAACTAAACTCAATTTTGTTTTTTTATTGTCAACTTTTGTGATTTTTCAGAATTAACAACTAAATAAAATAAAATTTTGTTTTTTTATTTTTGTAAAAAATGATACTATGTTATTACATCCCCACTGCAAGCACAACAAAAAAATGATACTAAATGGGTTCATAAAGTGACTTGTATATCGATTTAATCAACGAAAATCTACTACACTTCATTTTCAAATAGTTAAACAATGTCGAGCGTCACTATGGATCAATGTTGAGTTTGTTCCTCGTCGACTTAATACACTTGTTGATTGGGTTGCTTGTGAGATTAAGATAAATTCATTACCAATGAACGGATTCGCATTGATCAATATTATAGCTCCATTGTTGTAACTGAAGCTGGTTTCCTTGTTTGGGTGGAATAAAAGGAGTTCTTATTGGGGAAAAAAAAGTTAATCGATAATCAAAAGAGGTTTATACGAGTATCTTGTGTGAATTGACCCCAACAATGGAGAAATGGCCCATGAGGTTTGTTTGTTGAGAAAGGGAAAGGGACATTTGGAGCAACACATCAGTATCATTCATAACAACTAAGAATAACATGTCACTTCCAGATCCTAATCAACCCATTACATCAATCACAGATAGAATAGAATATTCATCATTACTATTCAGAAAGAAGAAAAGGATCATAGTAAAAAAAAAAAAACATAACTAGACTAAGTGCGGAGACATGATTTGAAACTACTCTTGTCCTCATTTCATAATAAAAATATATATATAATAAATATTTAATAAATATAATTAAAACTAATAATGTCGAAATGATTCATTCATAGATAAAGAATAACCAACTAATATAATTATTGTTTGCATAGACAACCACGACAAGTGTTTATTTTTAAGGCTACGAATCACGGATTCAGCCCGAGACTATTGTTTAAATGTGATGAAGTCTATTGATCCTACTCTCCAATGATGATTAAGTCCATTAAGCACCGATTTGGAAGAGTTTATTTATTTATTTCGATCGACAATTCATCTAAGGCATATTTATTTTCGGATGAACATTTTCTTAAATTTTTGGAAGATTTTTCTCAAATTCCGTTCTCTTTGGATTTTGAAGGCTACAGATCATGGAATCAGGCCGAGGCTATTCTCCACCAATAATGAAATTTATTGTTCCTATTCTCCAGACCCGGAATAAATCCGCCCAAATCGGTGATTAATGGACTTAATCATCGTTGAAGAATAGTCTCAGGCCGAATCCGTTATCTGTAGTCTTCAAAATCCAAAGAAAATTGGCTGTCGACGCCCACAAAATTACGAATATGCCATCCGAAAATAAATTGTCCCAAATCGGTGCTTAATGGACTTAGTATTTGTGGAGAATAGGATCGATAGACTTCATTACGGTGGAGAATAGCCTCTGCATGATTCCGTGATCTGTAGCCTCCAGAATCGAAAGAAAATGACATTTCTAAAAAATCGCCCAAAATCTGTGATGGTACCCCTTTGCAATCTGCCAAAAATTGACCCAGAATAAATCCGCCCAAATCGGTGATTAATGGACTTAATCATCGTTGAAGAATAGTCTCAGGCCGAATCTGTGATCTGTAGCCTTCAAAATCCAAAGAAAATTGCCTGTCGACGCCCACAAAATTACGAAAATGCCATCCGAAAATAAATTGTCCAAATCGGTGCTTAATGGACTTATCATTTGTGGAGAATAGGATCAATAGACTTCATTATCTGTGGAGAATAGCCTCGGCCTGATTCCGTGATCTGTAGCCTCCAGAATCGAAAGAAAATGGCATTTCGGAAAAATCGTCCAAAACCTGTGATGGTACCCCTTTGCAATCTGCTAAAAATTGACTCGGAATAAATCCGCCCAAATCGGTGCTTAATGGACTTAATCATCGTGGAAGAATAGTCTCAGGCCGAATCCGTGATCTGTAGCCTTCAAAATCCAAAGAAAATGGCCTGTCGACGACCCCAAAATTACGAAAATGCAATCCGAAAATAAATTGTCCGAAATCGGTGCTTAATGAACTAATCATTTGCGGAGAATAGGATCAATAGACTTCATTATCAGTGGAGAATAGCCTCGGCCTGATTCTGTGATCTGTAGCCTCCAAAATCGAAAGAAAATGGCATTTCTAAAAAATCGCACAAAATCTGTGATGGTACCCCTTTGCAATCTGCCAAAAATTGACCCGGAATAAATCCGCCCAAATCGGTGATTAATGGACTTAATCATCGTTGAAGAATAGTCTCAGGCCGAATCTGTGATCTGTAGCCTTCAAAATCCAAAGAAAATTGCCTGTCGACGCCCACAAAATTACGAGAATGCCATCCGAAAATAAATTGTCCCAAATCGGTGGTTAACGGACTTATCATTTGTGGAGAATAGGATCAATAGACTTCATTACCAGTGGAGAATAGCCTCGGCCTGATTCCGTGATCTGTAGCCTCCAAAATCGAAAGAAAATGGAATTTCAAAAAAATCGCCCAAAACCTGTGATGGTACCCCTTTGCAATCTGCCAAAAATTGACCCGGAATAAATCCGCCCAAATCGGTGCTTAATGGACTTAATCATCATTGAAGAATAGTCTATGGCCGAATTCGTGATCTGTAGCCTTCAAAATCCAAAGAAAATGGACTATTGGCGCCCAAAAAATTACGAAAATGCCATCCGAAAATAAATTGTCCCAAATCGGTGCTTAATGGACTAATCATTTGTGGAGAATAGGATCAATAGACTTCATTATCGGTGGAG